CGGGGCCATAACTTCAGGGAACTCCAATTTCCACGAAGCCCCCGGGCTGATTAGGTCCAACTTGACATACCTGCGGACTCCTCTACTTAAGGCCGTGGCAAACAGTGGCGTTTGCCACACCTTTGTAGAGGGGTGACTGGTACGGTACTTAATGTCGTAAAAGAAAAGAAAAGAAAAGAAGGCTGAGAAAAGCAATTGCCCCAAAACTAAAAAGAAAAGAAGAGGTCTGAGAAAAGAAATTGCCCCCCAAAAATGGTTCTTGAGCTACAAACAGCTCTAACAAATAGAAGAGGTGTTTGCTTCTCCAAGAGCAAACAAGCAAAGTCTGCCTTCCCTTCGTTCTTGGAGCGGAAGTGTTTTTTTTGTTTTCCGTTATCTTTCGTTTCGCCTTTCTAGTTCAGCCTTTGTTTGAGCATGCTTTCTTTTGTTTGCTGTTTCGCCATTTTCCCATCTTTGCCATCTTCTTTTCCCCGTCCTTGAGGTGTTCTGCCCGTTGTCGCCTGTGCTCCCCAGCGGCACAGCGGAAAACCCACGGCCCGCTGATCAGTACTTCAGCAGTTTGAGCCTGGCTCTCGGTTACCTCAACTCCAACGTTTCAAACTCACAGTCCAGTACCCCAATAAAGTCATTTATCACTCTTTCTCTCTGGTTTCCATTTCTGCACTTGGGTCCGCCTCTCCGCCATCCCGTAACAGGATAACAGTTTGTTAAAACTTTTTTCACCAATCTAGACGTTAAATGAGTGATGAATGAAACCACTTGTGTTTACAGATGTTAAGGAACTTAGTTTGACGCTTTGTGGTCACCTATAGTCACAACAAACGCGGGGCTTAACCTGCAACAATGATCAAGAATATTTTGTTTAGCCTACAGACAATTAAATAAACGTTGTTCCACATTCGTTGTTCATCATACTCGATTTCATGCATGTAACAGAGGGATTTCTGCTGCATCCACTTCATCAGCTACGAAGAACGCAAAGGCCACGAGATCCGCTAGCTCACGTGGGTTTCATGTGGCGACTGTCCGACTTGACGGTTCTTTTCTACCCTCCTCCACCAACTGCAACCGGCTGCTCTTGCTGACCACCAAGGCAAGGCGCAGTTCATCTCGAACAAGCCTTTCATCATATACAGTACAATTTTATATACATATAATGTATTTTAATTATAGTTTTCCAGAAGTCCATTTATTTTATTGCTATCTAGTGTCAGTCATGTTACAGTGAATCTTCGTGCCTCTTCATATTTTACTCACTGAAGTGGCTCAAAGGGACAAATAATAATAACTGATAGTGAACCTGAAGGGAGAAAATCTGATGCAGCGTTAATGTGAGAATTAAAGGGGATTTTATTCCTGATTTAGAAAATAACATTAAACTTATTATCTGTGTTTAGATTTTGTTTGGGAGCTCACTTTTAGATCAGGGTGGAGACAGTTTATGATTTTATTTTTTATTAATTTATTTCATTTCCAACTTTTCTACCATAACTTCTATGTTTTAGATTGTGATGCACTCACAAAATATTTCCCTGTGTATGGAAGCTCTGCTGTCATTCCTGAAACAAAGCCTAGACTAATCTGGGAAAGAGAACGTAAACCTTTCATATTAGCTGATATTAAAACCATTACACTATTCAGGTCATTCTAGTCTACATGGTTTTAAATACATGGACAGATTGTGACGTCCATATGATTTTATTATTTTTTTTAAATAATCTAAAATCTATACTAGTTAAATGGGCCAGATCAGGGTTTGATCAACAGAGTAGTCTAAAACAAAACCCTTCCTCTTAAGATTTCATGTTATAATAACTTAAATAAAGTATAATAAGTTAATTATTTATAAATCAGGGTCTGAGCTCTGTGACTTAGGCCAATGAGTGTCAGTGATGCTGGTATTTGCTTCTATTCACATATATTTATCAGAAACAAACAATTTATGTTTAAACATTTTTTGGCTTCATCTTGTCTCACTACCTCTTACGCAGACATATTTTTACATTTTGTCGGCTGCATTAAAGTCACATTAAAGATGGAAAAGATTAAATATGACTCGTGTTTATATTAGAAAAAATATGGCAATTTCAATCATGATGATGTTTTAAATTTCCTGTATATAAAACTATTTATATTAAAGGCCAACACTTCACACAGTCAAACACAAAGTGTGAACAAGTCTACTGGACCTGCTGGAGTTCACATTAAACCTGCTTGAATACATTTATATTAGACCAATATAGACCAACAGCATTTAACAGAACACAAACACATTTAGAGCTCAGACCAAACTTTTTGGAGTTCAGTCCCTCCTGTTTGGAGTCACCTGACATATCTCTAATAAGATGAATATTTATTTGTTTCATTAAGTATGTTTTTATTTTGCTCGATTTGTTCTGCTTACAAGTTCTGCTTCCCACTCTATTCAGTTTTTATTGGTTAGTTTGAGGTGTAAATCATGTTTACTAATACTGTCACAGCCGTTCAGCTTGATCTACAGTGAGGATCATTTCTTAAAGAGACACATGAAATGACACTCATACTTTACACAAAACAAACAACATTCACATTCAACATTCAGACAAAATATTTTTTATTAAGATTCGTTGGGAAACAAGCCAACTACGAGTGTGAGTGAGGGCGTTTTCACACTTGGACCATTTAAGCGGTTTAAGTGGTCTCAGATTGCTTAGTCGTGGTTTTCTGATCATTTGGAACACGTCAAGCAAAATCAGACCCTCTAAACGACCGATAAATTACCCAAACTCAGAGTGAATCCCAGGGTGGTCTCAGTGAGGTTCATCTGTGGTTCGTTCAGGGGTCTGATTGATTTGGAGGCTCGACATTCAGACACAGCATCAGTCGTGCAGCACTTAGTGGGTAAAAACAAACTACTCAGGATAAAGACTCGCGGGTTTGTGCGATGAGTAAGTGATGCTTACTGAACTCTATTATCAGATATTTAAATGTTACTTAAGAATTACATGTTTAAAACTTTCCCAAACAAGTTCTAAAGCAACTATTTAGTTCATTTATTAATATTTTGGACCATTACTAAATGCAGACCTGGTTCATTAAGTTATTGGCCCATGGGCACAAATGTTTGAAGGGCCCTAATGGCTGCCTTTGTTGTTGGTCATGGATTTTGTTTTAATGATAATGTAGCAGGTTACATGAGGGCAGCATCATGATGGCAGCATGCTATACAGTGTTGTCATGTGATTGTTGTTGTATTTATTTATTTCATTTTATTGGTTATTTTTTTAGAAGAATGTATAGAATGTTGTGACTGAGTTGCACAGTCTGGAGTTTGGAGTCTACAAAACCTATAATCAGGTTATCTAAATGGTTCTACAAACAAACCTTTTGAATTACACATTTCTCTTATAATATCAAATATGATAACAAATAAATGATTGTCTCTTAAGGGGAACAGTGGTGGTCTGCTCTGGTTGCATAAAGACAATAGCAAGTTGCCAAACAATGCAATGTCCCATGGCATAATATGAGGTTATACTCTATGCTGACAGACAAGAGTGCAGTTATCCAACACCATATAGAGATAGAAAACACACAAAACAATAGCAAGATTGAGCACATATTAATAAGAAACACAGGTTACCATAAACCCAACAGTAAAAGCGACACTTGCTTATAAAGTATTGTGATGATGTAGGCCACTCCTTACACATCACAAAGTAAAGACTGATTGTATATACTTACCTATACTTACTTGTGGACTGATAATCCTTGTTTTTAAGGACTGAAAGAGAACTGAGTGGGTTCTCCTGAGTTTTACTTAAATGGATGAGCCCATCCTCTGTAGAAGAGGAGGTAAGAACAAAATCAGTAAGAGAGAAATTGTGTTTAATAAGTGTACACTGCAATTGCAAATGAATGTTAATGACGTCATGAATGTGAATACAGGCAGAAAGTGGAGAACACAAATTATAATTATTGGTTTATGTAAACATATTTAAATATTCAGAGCTCTTGTCTAGTCATTGATATATGTTCTCTGGTAGTGGAGACTGTTATTTCTCATTTTGTCTTTCGCTTTGAATGTGCGCACTTGTAAATATGTAAATAGCTGTGAATGTCGGTGTGTAAATAAAGGTGACGGGGAGAAGAACTCTTGTGCAAGCCCAACCTTTTCCAGGTCCTCAGACCAATCGCCCAACGCTACCGATAGAGTGTGCTCCACTACTACAGCATACTGCCGGGTCGAGGGACACGCTTTATCACAATCATCAGTTAAAATCAGAGATGTATATAACAAATACAATTAAAACAACACTAGCAAACTTAAAAAAACAAAACCATCAAGCAACCTAAGCTAAAGCGTACTGCCACAGCGGTTGTGGAAAATGTTTTTATTTCTTACCTTTTGATTACTTTATGCACAGAAGCAGACAGTTTGGAGATCAATACAGACAACAAAACAGTAACTGTTTTCTTTAGCTCAGGCTGACATTTTCAATCTGTGTTTGGATTTGGAAATGTGCATTTTCTACTCTGTCAGGGAAAAACACATCAAGCATATGCATAAAATAACCACGTCTCATTAATGCCTTAATCCAGAAGCAATATATTTATTCATGTAGTAATTAATGTGCCAATATCGTGAGTTAAAATTAGTGATTCACAACATTTATACAGGTCTTCATGACAGCCAGAGACTAAATGGTGGAAAAACTGAATATCAAGTTACCTCATAGAAAAAGTGCCAAGTTATATATTTGGTATTATTAAAGGATTACTTCTTTATGGGTTCACGATGTTCCTCAAAGTGGTGAAATTCCTTCATCGTTGTTTTATTAACCTTGTTAATTACTTAACAAGGTCACATTGTGTTACTTGTTACTATATAAAAATTATATAACACTAAAGGTAAAAATATAGTCCTCAGGAGTGCCCCCGGCACTCCAAATGACCTCAGTCTCCTAAGTAAGTAGAGTCTGCTCTGGCCTTTCCTATGAAGTGCATTAATGTTATCTGACCAGTCCAGTCTATTGTTGAGGTGAAAACCCAGGTATTTATAAGAGTCCACTCTCATAATGTCAATTCCCTGGATGTTCACTGGTGGAGAAAGGTGACAGTGCCTGCGGAAATCCACCAACATCTCTTTGGTCTTCCCTGCATTGATCAGGAGGTGACTCATCAAACACCAGTCCTCAAAGCCCTGGGTCAGTTCTATGTACTCTCTGTTGTCCTCACCTGAGTCATCAGAGAACTTCTGTAGATGGCAGTTTGGTGAGCTGTACATGAAGTCTGCAGTGTACAGGGTGAAGAGAAATGGTGCCAGGACTGTTCCCTGTAGGGCCCCTGTGCTACTGGCCACTGATGCCATCCGGACCCACAGCTTTCCTCACTTTGACCTTTCTGAGCTTCTTTCTCACCTAGGCAGTAGTAAAGCACAGATTGGAGCAGGGGGGCTGGGTGCTAGACTGTGTGGGTAGAGGGTTGGGCTGACAACAGGGAAACCAGTGGGGGGGGGGTGAGTGTTGTGAAGAGGGTGGAGGGAGGGAGGGAGGGGGCAGGGCAGTGCCCTGAGACTCCAGAACAGGGGGGTTGCAGCAGGGGTAACTGTGTAGGGGGACACGAGTGATCAAATCTATTGATAAACAGATTGAGATCGTTCACCCACTTTTGGTGCCCTACTTCCTGGGGTTTGGGTTTCTTGCGGCTGGAGATTGTTTTGAGGCTTTTCCAGACCCCACTTGTTTTTCTGCTGCTGTTCCTCCATTTTCTTCCTGTAGCTGGCTTTTCCCTCCCTGATTTTTCTTCCTAGTTCCCTTTGCACAGCTCTCTGCTTCCCCCATGTCTCCTAATCTAAAGGCCCTCTTTTTCTCCTTCAGGAGAACCTTTGTATCAGGGTTGATCCAAGGTTTGTTGCTGGAGAAACACTGAACATTCTTGGTGAGTACAGTGTTCTCCATGCAGAAATTTATATAGTCAGTGTGTGAGACTCCCTATGTACAATTGCATTTAGTCCACACACTCGTACTGTATTTGCACACACTGTGTCTCCCTCTGCTGCTGGAGCTCCTCACACACATTCAGAAATCATTTAATCTCTTCATGATGTCTTTGGTGATTTTAATAATACAGTTCATCAACACCACACACTGAAAAAGGGATATAATAAAAAATAACTTTCAGTACAAAAAATAAACATTATTTTCAGTATAGAACTAGTTAGTATAGCAACCAAGTTACTTATTTAAAAGATGTAGAACCAGTTTCCTACATGTAGCTTAATCACAGAGATTTTAAACTGTGAATCACATTTGGCATTTCAGTTTAGTCTAAGATCAGATTTGATCCCTGTCTGAGAAAGCAGCCCTGTGTGTGTGTGTGTGTGTCTACATATTTATCTAAAATCACTGTTACTCACAGTAGATCTTGTAGTCTGTAATGTTTATCATGCTTTAGAGCGTACAGCCGCTCACGTCCTGTCTTTATCTGGTGATTCCCAGACAGACACAGCTCTCTCAGGTGTGAGGGGTTTGATTTCAGTGCTGCAGTCAGAGCAGCACAACCTTCATCTGTGATATTACATTCCCACAATCTGCAAAGAGGACAATGTCTGAGTCTGATGTGGATATAAACAGTGTAAAAGCTAAAAGTACATGTTTCTGTTGATGAAGTCACTGAGCAGCAGCTGATGTTAGGTCAATCACACACACTACATTTCTTACATTTCTTTATTTATTTTGGAGATCAAGCTAATAAACAACAATGACCTTTTTTTCATGATTGTTGGGCATTTTTAAGACATTTACTTGCTGGACCGCTGGACGTTTGAAAATAGAACTTCTGTGTTTTAGTATTTGAGCTCAGTCTCACTCTTGAGTCCATGAATTAATGTTAAAGTAGCCTCTGCTACGTTTCTTCAGCAGTGAAAAGATCAAATCTATAGCAAGATAAATCATGGAATTCACAGCACTGGATGACCAGCCATTTTCTGTAGTCGAGAGACTACAGAGACAGAAGTTTCAGAATTTTGATAAATTACCTGAGTCCAAAATACACAGTAAAGCAGGTGATACTTCTCTGATGTCACATTAATTGTTTAATCTTGTGTCACTGCACTCACGCAGTTGCTACAAGCTGAATCCAAAGCAGCAACTAGTTTTCCAACTGACATCTAGACATCTAATGTAAGCATGATGGCAAAGTGGAATCTGACTGCTCAGTGGGTGAGTGAAGATTTCCAGTTACACCACGTCCTCCTTCACTTTCAAGAAATGCCAGGGTCCCACACTATTGCCAATCTAGCAGCCACACTTGACACAATTTTGCAATGGTGGGACACAGACAAGACCAGTGTTCATGTGATGTTGCGAGACAACACTAGAAATATGACCAAAGTACTGGATGAGGCCAACTTGTTGAGTTTGCCTTGCATGGCGCAAACACTACAGTTGGTGGTGAATGAGGGTCTGCTGTCCCAGTGAAGCATCAGTGATGCGGTGGCAACTGGAAGGAAGATTGTTGACCATTTTAAACACTCGTCACTCGCCTATTTGTGACTTTGCAACATCCAGACACAGTTAGGTCATCTTAGATGTAGCGAACACTGGCTGAAACTTTACCCCTAGGCTGAGTGTTTCTAACAACAACCCAAAGTTAAGGGCCTTTTGGCTCCAGCAAGTCTGGAATTGAGGTGTAAATCTGTCGGCTTAACACCCCACCCTCTCCCTTGACCAAGAGGGCAACAGGACAACGCCTCCCTGGAATATTGGCCACATGGCTCTCCAAAGGCCTGTGGACAACTTTATCTTTAAGTAACAGAAAGTACATTTCTAAGGTATATGTCCACTCCAAACTGCAACCATTCGTTAGAACTCTTTAGCTAAACTAGATATACCAAAAAACAGAACTCGTACAACTTTGGACGGCAAAGTTTCAACTTTCTAAATTCCCTAGGGATCTCAAGCATGGACCCACAGCACCCCCAAGGGGTGAAACCGTGAATTACCACATCACCACCATAAGGACTTGTGCTTATAAGGAACCCAAGAAACTTCTTGCTTTGTCTGCTTGATTATCAACATTTATATAATCTGTAAGCAATACTACTTGTTGTATTAATCTTGTTGTTGGGTAGTATCTAAATATTACCTGTATCTTTTTCTACTATTAAGTGCTAGAAATATGTAGAGTATAACTTTGATAACAGTCAGACCCAACAATTTAATTGCTATGAGTTTAGACCATTGACCAATATGTATCCTGAATGTGGTTTTCTTTTCTTTTCTTCCTTTGTTCCTTTCCTTTTATTGTCGATTTTATTTTTCATGCAATGGGTCATGTTCAGATATGATAGTACCTGTGTTCTTTGACATGTGTTGTGTATCAGGTAACAAGGGTTAAACTCTCTCTTAGAAACATGCCTGAACATCCTAATTGATCACTCCTTGATTTTGAAAGTTAAACCAATTGGATGATATAGAAATGCTTCTTTTGCTTTGTTTAAACTAGCTGAAAAAAAGGAGGCAGTGATTCTGGGGAAGGCATTCCTAAAATTATGCACAACCAATCAAAGTTGGAAACAATGAGTACCTAGTTACCTTAGGTGAGGAGAACCTATCAGCACTCTGGCTCCACCTCCAAAGGGTAGGGCCTTCAGTCGAGCAAAACCAGAGTGCATCGCAAATTTGAGTGGAGTTCAGATTCCTGCATTCGCAACAAAAGGATAGCTAAGTTTCTAAGTTTGTGCCGGCCTTGGTCAGAAAGACAGGTCAGAAGTATTAGAACGCTAAATTTTCAGATCTGAAACCTTTGTTTTGTAATTTGCTTGTTCGTCTACACACCTTAAGTTTAAACCACCCTCAGAGAAGGAAGGTGGATATTTCTTTTCTGGCCAGGGAGAATATATCCATCACTTTCGATTCTGCTAAAGAGAGGTAGTTAAATTAGTATCACCAGCCTCAGAACCCTGATTGCAACCTGAACCTCGCCAGCGGAATGGGAGCGGTTCTGACGCCACGGAGACCCAGCATCGCACCCAGAGCCACGCACTGATCTGTGAACAGATCGACCATTGAAAGGCTGCCCAAGCTCCACCCTCAGACGGCCACGAGACGTCTCTGCCCAATCACTGACGGGAAGGCGTGTGCCCGCACGGAGATGCAGCATCCACGGCCAGCGAGGAGAGGAACCACCGCGTGAGCTCCAGCCTTTGATCGAGTCCGTCCTGAGACGACCCCTCCTGAAGTCAGCCCCCGACTCCGACATAAGCTGGTTCCATCAATTTGCAGTCAGAGCCCTGACGCCAATTTATTTAATAAGAGAACTTTTAATAGGTACATCCAGCCATATAGTTATTCCCATCCAGGCTTAGGTTAATTCTCTAGAGGCTCTCCCAAGCGACTTCCCAAACCACACTGCCTCATACCATTTAGCCGTGAATCACTCTAACTTACTCAAGCTAATTTGTCTTTCATTACTATCACTTTGTTTTGTTTTGTTTTCTGGTTTTATTTTCTATTGTTTATCATTGAATGTAGTCCAAAAATAGTTTGATATTTAGCCAGTAAATTCCCTTTTCTGAAGCATCCTTGGTGCGAGCGTTTCTCTCTCTTGCCCTGGTCTGTAGACTTCAAATAAATCCGGGTTACCTCACACCCTCACATAAGGTTCTAGCAATAATAATATTAAAAATTGCAAAACCCGTTACATATGAAACAATAGCAACAAGATGTTCCTACAAGATAGAATAGCACCTACTTTATGCTGCAATCAATGATGGAACAGAGACATACTTTGGGGCACACATTGCAGAGCATGAGCTAACAGACACACTCAGCACACCTCAGTGGGGGGCTAATGATAACATACTGAGCCTTCTCACACCTTTTGAGGAACAAACACAAGAAATCAGCTCTTTGATAACAGCCACAGACGTCAATCTAGCCATCACTGCACTGAGACAGAGCGTGGAGTGGGCACTGAAAAAAACACATTGTTGGAGGGAGTTCTGAGAAGGTTCAGGAACATCGAAAAGAGCCACTGTACATATTATTAGTGCTTATTAATAGTGTATTACTATACTTATTAAACAAATTTAATGAACATAGGCTAATCATTAGACTATAGTGTTTGCCTGGCTCTATGTAAAACACCATCATTTAACCTATCCTTTCTTGTCTTTGTCCATGTATGCAAATGGTAACTACTGGAGGATCAATTAAAAAACATTTCCCTGCACTTGCTCCACTCGCCTGAGTTTACCTCTCTGCATCATGTACAAGCGTTGACAGTATGTGCTTGTTTAGCATGGCTGGTCATGGGGTAGATGAGAGGAGAAACAAGCTACCTTGTGACAAAACAGAAATGTTTGTGTTTGTGAAAAAAAACTTGCCATTATCTTGCCAAAAGTGATTGCAATAGGTCTATAAATATGTTGAGAATAACCTAAAGGTATCTTGTTGTAATCTTCTGTTTCTATCACCTGTTGCACATGTTTTCATTTGGAAAAGTACAAATACTGTACTTCTTTTTCAGTAGGTTTGTAAAATGAGTTTTTTCCTATAACCTAGTGCAAATTTTATTTGTAAAAATTCATAAACAAATTTCCATCACAAAAGGCATTTGTATACTTCTGTGATCATTGTTCATGAAAGAAATGGTTTAAAATGTTTGTGTTTACTGTCAACTGTAGTAATTAGAAAGAAGGCAGACTAGAGTTAGCCAAAAACTGGAATTGGCAGGTCAGACTAAAAAAAAAATAAATTAGAAATCGGAATCAACCAAGAAAACTGCAATCAGTGCATCTCTACTATTCAGGCATCACTGTGTTGAGAATCTGCCACTGCACTGCCGCCCTTCTCATGTTTAGAATACAATCTGCACTCTGATTGGCTAATGCTGTCTCCATTTAGTATTCAATCAGGAAATTCAAATATAAATACAGAAGACAAACAAACAGAATGATGAGAGAATGAAAATTCTTTGAAAAATGGAAACACACGTTCCTCACATTTCCTCAGGATATTGATTCTGAGTCCCAGACTCAAATAGAGATCAAAGAATATGGCAACACTTTACACTATGATGCCTTAGTAACCTCATAACTATGCACAAACAATTCATGAACTAACATAGTAGTTAGTAGTAGTTAACATTAGATTAAATACATCCCCATTTCCAGAAAAGTTGGGACGCTGTGCAGAATATAAAAAAAAAATAGAATGTCCTCTTTTTAAAGGAAAATACTACAGAGACAACATTAAATGTTGAAACTGAGATATTTTACTGTTTTTTTTTTAAATATATGCTCATTTTGAATTTAATGCTAACAACACATTCCAAAAAAGTTGGGAGAGCAGCATGTTTACCACTGTGTTTCATCACCTCTTCTTTTAACAACACTCTGTAAGCGTTTGGGAACTGAGGAGACACTGCTGTAGTTTTGAAAGTAAAATGTTTTCCTGTTCTTGTTTGATATAGGATTTCAGCTGCTCATCAGTTCGGGGAATCATTGGTCATATTTTTCATTTAATAATCCACCAAATGTTTTCAGTGGGTAACACGTCTGGACTGAAGGCAGGCCAGTTTAGCACC